CGCACGTGTCCCTGGAAAATCGACGGAGGATTTCGGCTCACCTCCCACCGATTCGGTCGCCTTATATAGCCCCCTTCGCCTCGCCGCCGAAACTCCTGCCACACTCCCCTCCCCCCTTCGAGCTTTCTCGCCGACACACATCGGCACCGACAAACAGGTAAATAACGCTCATTGTGAGTCTGACGATCCCCAACGGCGGTGACTCGTGACCTCATCTTCTTCAACCGTTTCGGCGTCTTGACGCGTCTCCATACTATCTATATTTTTGGAATGTTTCATGCTACTATATTATCAATCTTAGTGCATAGTGCCAGTTTTTGTTTGTTTTGGTTTTACAGAAATCTATACCAAATGGAGTCCAAACATGACACAACTTTTTGACAAATTTTTTTGGACATAAGAGACCCTAGAAGCTTTGGTGGAGGGCCAGAAGACCTACAAGGAGATGGCAAAGCAACGGGGTGCACCCTGGGGGTAGGGGCGCCCAGATGTCTTATGGGCCCCTCATGGCTCCGTCTGAGCTAATTCCAGCGTTATAAATTCTCAATATTGGAAAAACCCCAGAGCACCCATCAAAATAATTGTTTCGCCGCCGCAAGTCTCTGTTCTTCCGTGATCCCATCTGGAGGCCTTCGCTGGTACTCTGTCGGAGGGGGAATCGATCGCGGAGGGCCTCTACATTAAGCTTGCTACACCTCTGATGATGTGTGAGTAGTTGCCACAGGACCTATGGGTCTATTAGCTAGATGGCTCTCTCTCCCTCTTTGATCTTCAATACAATGTTCTCCTCGGAGTTCTATTTGATGTAATCTTCTTTTGCGGTGTGTTTGTTGGGATTTGATGAATTGTGGGTTTATGACCAGATTATTCATTGAAAGTAATTGAGTCTTTTCTGAACTTTATTATGTGTGGTTGTTATAGCTTTTTATTTCTCTCCGGTCTATCCGTTTGGTTTAGCCAACTAGATTGACTTATCTTCAGCGGGAGAAGTTTTTTGTGGTAGGTTTAATCTTGCGGTGTCCAGCGGGAGAAGTGCTTTATGGTAGGTTCAATCTTGTGGTGTCCAAATGAAGTTTAATCTTGCGGTCTGCTTGTTTTTGGTCTTACAGAAAATCTATACCAAACAGAGTCCAAACACGAGGAAACTTTTTGACAATTTTTTCTGGACATAAGAGACCCTAGAAGCTTCAGGGAAGGGTCAGAAGATCTATGAGGAGACGGCAATGCAACAGGGTCGGCCCTGGGGGGTAGGATGCGCCCTGATATCTTGTGGGCCCCTCGTGGCTCCGTCTGACCTAATTCCAGTGCTATAAATTCGCAAATATTAGAAACCCCAGAGCAACCACCCAAACAATTTTTCTGCTGCCGCAAGAGTCTTTGTTCTTCCATGATCCCATCTGGAGGCCTTCGCATGTACTCTTCCACAGGGGGAATCGATTGCGGAGGGCCTCTACATCGACCTTGCTGCACCTCCAATGATGTGTGATTAGTTTTCACAGGACCTATGAGTCCATAGTTATTAGCTAGATGGCTATCTCCCTCTTTGATCTTCAATACAATGTTCTCCTCAGAGTTCTATTTGATGTAATCTTCTTTTGCGATGTGTTTGTTGGAATCTGATGAATTGTGGTTTTACAATTAGATTATTCATTGGAAGTAATTGAGTCTTCTCTGAACTTTATTATGTGTGGTTTCTATAGCTTTGTATTTCTCTCTGATCTATCCGTTTGGTTTGGCCAACTAGAATGATTTATTTTCAGTGGGAGAGGTGCTTTGTGGTAGGTTCAATCTTGCAGTGTCCTCACCCGGTGACAGCAAGGGTAGCAAGACATGTATTTGTGTTGTTGCTACTAAGGAGAAAACAACGGGGTTTAATCATATTGTTTGATTTTATTATGTCTACATTATATCATCATACTTCATGCATTACTATGTTTGTCATGAACTTAATGCGTAGAGCGGCAAGCATAAAAGCGCTCTTGAAGTGGAGTAATAGTAGTAGATGCAGGCAGTATTCGGTCTACTTGTCACAGACATAATGCCTATGTACATGATCATAACATGAATAACGTCATAACCATGCACTTTTCTATCAATTGCCCAACAGTAATTTGTCCATCCATCGTACAATATCTTTATGAGAGAGATGCCTCTAGTGAAAACTATAGCCCCGGGGTTTATTTTAATCATATTAATAAAAACAAAAATACCTTGCTGCGATTTGTTATCTTTTATTTTACTTTGCAGTTTATCTATCACCTGTTACGAGATTTGATCCTTGCAATAAACGAGTACAAGGGGATTGACAACCCCCTTGCCCACGTTGGGTGCAAGTATTTGTTCTTGCATGTGTAGGTACTGTTGACGGTTGTTTGTGTGGTTCTCCTATTGGTTCGATAACCTTGGTTCTCTACTGAGGAAAATACTATCCTCTACTACATTGCTTCACCCTTCCTCTTCGGGAAAAATCCCAACGCAACTCACAAGTAACACCTCTCCTTCGAGCTGTAGTGATGGCCTCTGTGAGTTCAGTCACCCCCTTCTCTGTACTCAATGTAGCTAGACCCAAGACCATGTGGTAGGGTTTGATGTTCGAGCTTGTTGTAGGGTTTCTGTGAGCATCTTGTAGCATGGTAGGGTTGTATTTGGGTGCCGATTTGTGAAATTGTGATCCGGTAGCATGCCATGGGGGTCTTCAACAAACTGTATTGGTAGCTAGTTGTGATGTATACTGTGTTGGAAATACGCCCTAGAGGCAATAATATTTATATTATTATATTTTCATATTCATAACTATGGAGTTTATATTCGATGATATAACTACTATGATCCTGAAATATGTGATTCAGTGGAAAACTCATATGCATGTGTGAAATGATAAACGGTTAAACAATCGATTCCTAGTCTTGCCTCTAGGACTAGCTCAAGTGTTGTTGGTGATCATGTTTTATGGATCTTAGGATATTGTTAAGTGTAATGATAGTCCTAAAACAACATTGAGATTATGACGTTGGAAGAACGGCCATATTGAATCAACCCAAACTTAGCCCTGTTATCTGGCTTGTATGACTTCACTTTGTACCCGAAACTTCTTAGTGATGGCTACGTGCGTACGATGGACGCATAGGCCTGGGGTATACCCTCCTTTTTCAAAAAAAGATATTAAGTGTTTTTTCGTAAATTAATTGTGACAATTTATTATGTCTAGAACCAAACGGACTCTTTAAAAAAGCTGGCGCATATACTCATCATAAAGTCTACAGCGGGAAAATAAAATTATTATTTGGCACTAAAGCTGACCAGTCAACCCCCTGGGGTCTTCTGAAAAACCAATTAGGGCCCCCCCAAGAAAAAAAAGGCTAGATTTCCTCTATCTTCTGCCGGTCCGCCTCATCTCCGGTGGCCTTAGGCCCATGGTGGCGTGGTGGATCCCGGCCCTTGCCGGCGGAAGGGCTCCGTCTTTAGATGTTCCTTCAGGTTTTGTTAGGGTTTGTGTCCTGCTCAGAAAGACGAGACGGCGGCGGCTTTCTAAAGATGGAATAAGGTTCTTCCCGCCTAGTTCCCGTTCCCGTGGTGCGTCTAGCATTGTCGGTGGGTGTGGAGGTGTGTCATTGGTTGATTTGCTCGGATCTTGTCGTAGTTCGTCTATGTTCATGTATCTTCAGGTTGGATCCTTCCGATCTCTACTCTTCAACGGCGGCGATTGTTGTTCTGCTGCGCTGGTCCTATGGGGCCTTAGCATGACTGACTTCCCGACTATCTATTACAACAAGGTTTGCCCGGCTCCAGCGAGGGAGGGGCGATGATGGCGGGGTGGCTTCGGCTCGCTTCAGTGCTTGTAATCGTCGCTAGGTGGTTTACGGATCTGGATGTAATTTTATTTCTAGTATTCGTTGTACTACCATGTTTGAATATGAATAGATTGGAAGTTTTTCGCAAAAAAAAACCTGGGGTCTTAACCTCCTTTTCTAATAAAAAACAATAAAAAAAACTAAAACTGACCAGGCAACCCCCTTGTATCTGGAGTACCAAGAAAATATACATGGAGAGTAGCAATCATCATAAGAAATTGAAGCTAACAGGTTCCACAATGACGTACATATCATAGCAAATTATTTCAACTTTGGCAATAAGTAGAGGATGTCATTTCCTTCTTGCACATGTCTCCTGAAGAAGACCCAAATTTTATTCTCCATGAAGACTGGAGATCTGAAATTTCATACACTATAGGTTACGACCAGCTGAAATGTAGCATAACTACATGGTTCTACAGATGCCAGGTTAATAGTGTAAAAACAGTAAAAAAATGTTCTTAAGCAACAATGCATGATTGACAAAAAATAAGCGGTACCAACTAAGGATATTTGATTCTGCATATAAGGGCTGCAAATATCTTAACCCTTTCATTATGGGCTACATCTGAGAGAAACATGTATCCACTCCTTTGCATACCTAAATTTGATAAATTGAAACCGCCATTAGGATGGCATGTGGATAGTCAATTTCATACCAGTATGACCTTGTAGCTCAATTAGTATGTCGTCCATTGAGCTGGTCGATAATTGCCTCTATGGTAGGTCTCCTCTGCCGATCAGTCTCAACACATTGCAGTCCAATTTCGATGCATTTTTTTACTTGTCGGAGGCAATCTGCTTTTAATGATGGGTACTCTGATACGATGTTCTCCTCTGTCCAGTTTTCACGTACCTACAAACAAGATCGGAATTATGACCCCTCAAGATATACCACAAAAGATTGTTTGTAATATGAGCTTCTAAAGCTAAGTGTCCAAATTATTAAAAAGAAATCCCGTTACCTTTTTAATAAATTGTCCTGCAGATGGTTCGCTCCCGCGGCAATTCTCCTCTCTTGTGGTGGTCTCAAGGATTAGTACACCTAAACTGTATATGTCCGACTTTGTGGAGATTTCACCTCTGTATAGATATTCAGGAGCTATATATCCACTGCATAGCATTAACATTAACAATAAGTACTATCAGAGAGCTTATGATGCAAGTTAAATCATAATAAAGGAACAAACATTTATCGCATTTCATAATCGACTTACTATGACCCCACCACATTTTGTGTGTTCATCCGTGTTTGTTCTTGACCGAAGAGTCGCGAGAGACCAAAATCCGCTATTTTCGGTACCATATTACTATCCAGCAGTATATTTTCGGGCTTAAGATCCATATGCACAATAGGAATGCTGTGTACAAAGAGTAAACCCTCACATATCCCCTTAGTTATGTTGAATCGTGTGTCCCAGTCCATTTGGGTATCTACTCCTGAAGAAGTGAAACACGGAGACACTGACTTGAATATCATTTATTTGTCAGCATGCTAATAGCAAAAATATTATCACAAAAGACAATTTTCTATGTACAATTGCAACTTCTTTTGATCATGTCAACTGCTGTACCTTTATTGTCATTGTATAGCATTTAAATCTGAACATGCTGTAACAAAGATTGATGACCAAACTCTAGTTCATAGTGTACGATAGGAGTATTATAATCTTGAACATTGATGCAATTTGAATCAGGTAGTATGACATACCAAAAAGATTCTTCTTAAGGGTCCCCCCTGGTAAATATTCGTAGCAGAGTACACTTTCAACAATATCAGCAACAATATATCTTCCATTGTTCTGCACCACTTTCTTTAGACTTTCATGACAGTAGCCAACCAACCTTACAACATTTTTATGTCGGAGAGCCATAATATTTTGAACCTCATTATTGAATGCTTTATCTCGTGGAAGGGGCAAATTTTCGGCAAGTTTCTTCACAGCAATGGTTTCCCCATCTGGCACAGTCCCCTGTTCAACCTCAGACTCTTTCAGCAACGTTTTTAGGAAATATAGTCATAATTTTCAGCAACTTCCGGAAAGACAGAAACTGTTAAAGCACAACCATACCTTATAAACGGTTCCAAAAGCGCCTTTACCAATTATACGATTCTCTGAGAACTGATCTGTGATATTCTTCAGAAAGTCTAACGGCAGATCCTTCGGCAGTGTGCTCAGAACGCTCGGCCTGTTCTCTTCAGCTCTACCTCCGCTACCGCTAGTAGCCATTTCTGATGATTTAAGAAGCTTTGATGTGAGTTCTCGTTTAGCAGAGCAAAAACAGATTTACAAGCTATGGGTTGCCACCAGTTCTCTTTTACCAAAGCAAGGACATATTTGCCATATACAAGAGTAAACATACATAGATTGTTCTATCACTTTGTAGACTAAGTCATAAAAATGATTTTCTATTAACTAGAAGCTTTAATTGATCGTTGCCATGTATCTAGGTGATACAAACACAGAAGAGTTCGACTCCGGCCACTGCATCAAAATTGCATGCAGCCACGCAAAGGCAAACAAACAATGGTAAAAGATGCAGTATCTAGTAATAACATGATAGAAAAAACACTCCTATCCATAGACATGGCTGTTGAAAGTTGAAACAGCATCTGAAAACAATCAACTTCCAAATTAAAAGAACATACCTGGTGAAGATCGAACTCTTGAGGTATCGTCTAGCAGTTGTGCAGATAACAGAGGAGAAACGGGGATGAAGCTTCTGAGAAGAAGCACTTCCTGCTAGACTCAGCTGGATATATAGCAACCCAACAAGATGTGCACCTACCGCGTAGAAAAGTATGCATTGACTTGACTCATGCACACAATGTTCGACTCTTTCTGGGTGAATAAAAAAATATATAGTACAATAATCCACGTCTACATCACTCTAAATATAGAATAATCAATAGTAAAAAAACAATAATCCATGTCTACATCATCCTAAATATTTTCACACTATAGCAAGGACATCGACGGTGACACCATGTGAGATGGTATACAAGAATAATCCGCATTAGTAAGACACACAGAGCACCAAGTCGAGTATTTGACCCCAGGTAGGTTGAAGGTACAACCGCCCTTCTAACCATCCAAGCAAATTTTGGCACTTTTTCACACAAAACATTATCCGGACGTACTCAAAAGATTCCCTACAAGGGAGAACATACAAGAATTCCAGTCATGCCTGACCCACCTTGCTTGGCTTGGGATAAGATGCACTGTTTTTCAACAATCTCACTCTTTTCCAAACAGATCATTTTGCTTGTCAGACAAGCCTCTTAAGTTGTCTCCATTTTTTCCTTGCACTTTTGGCAGCAATGAGAGAAAAAGGACAGTTGAGCAGTTTTCCACTCAAATCACAATGGTGTTAAGGACCGTTGAGCAATGTGAGAGAAGGCTAGACATATTGCCTATTAAATAGTCCCTCCGTCCCACAATATAAGGAGTTTCTGCAAGCTAGGGAATATATACCAATAGACAAATAATGAGCAAAAGAGCTCCCCTGCTTCCAAACACAAGTGGACATAAATGCACTTCTTAATGTTTTTTCTTTCCAATAAAGGCTGGCACTTTTCCAATTTCATTAGAATGAGGACATCAAAATAGGAGTATTTACAAGTTGAAAGGAAGAAGAAAACTTAGGAACATGTGTTTATACTTTAGAGTGTGGTACATTTTGACAAAACACATGTATGGAACCGATAAAAAGAAGAAAATACACGTACAAAATGTTACACAAAAACCAACCAGGGTTTGCAAACACTTGACTGGGCTAGTGGCGGGTAGAAATGAATCCAGGAAATGAGAAAATAAAATTCCCATCAGGACGAACGTGGTAATTCCTTCTTCAAGACAGGTTTGTTTGGATGGTTGAGAAGCTTGTTCGACAGTTCAGTCTCGAGTGTTTCATTATTGTTACCAATGATCAAGACTTCCTTGAGCTCAGGTAGACAATCAAGGCCATCAAGATCATATGACGCCCCACTGGAGCAGTCAAGCTTGAGCAGCTCTAGACTTTTCATCGTCTCTGAACCAAACTTCACAGATAATGAGCTGGAGCTGCAACCAATCTCGAGGATCTTGACCATTTTATAGGTGGGCAACTCCATTGCATGCAATTCAGCCTTAAACTGGAGACTGGGCTGCTTGATACGAAGGCGTAGAATACATAGATTTGGTACCTCGCCGAGGAACTTAATGTCTCGTTCTTTCAAAGTGGACATCTCCAGATCCATCTTCCTGAGTTTGATAAGTGTGTCGCTCAATACTCCTTGGTCAGAGCCAAGGCCGCTTGACAACGGCAACCTATCTTGAAGCCCGTACAGTTTAAGACTCCGTAGATTATTCCAAGGCAAGGATGTCTGATCATCCAAGCAACAGCCTTGGTTGTCCTTGTCAAGCTGGACAGACAAGGATTCCAGATGAACATGACCCTGGATTGCAGAGAAAATATCCTTGCTGTTCTTCCTGTTAACGCCGGACACTCCGAGCTTGCGCAACTGGGTGAGCTTCTTGAGAGCTTTCGCCATGGCCTTCCCACCAGAAGCAGAAATGTTGACGACACCAAGCGTGTGCAACGCCGTCAGTTTCCCAATGCCTCCAGGCACCTGAACACCAACTATACGGTGAGGTGTGCAGAACCAGCTGGATGGAGCAGGTGGTGCTGATGCAGCTGGGCAAGTGGCGCCGGCACGTATGTACTGTAGCTTCTGCAACTTGGTGATGTTCTCTGGCAGGGTGAGTACGGAGGTGCCCCTGACATCCAAAGTCTGCAGCTGCCTCAGATGATCCATATTATCTGGAAGATGGTGTATCTCGTGCCGTCCTCGTAGTGAAAGGAACTTGAGACGACGCAGCCATTTTAATATGTTCTCAAGATCCGCATACTCTATACCTGATGCATCCTCTAGATCAAGCACCCGAAGAAGCATCATACTTTCAGAGATGAAGAATGGTTTCCACCTGCCAAACACCGTCAGTGACCTAAGCCGCGAGAAATCCATGCTCTCAAACACAATTTTGTCCCTCTTCCAGTCGTGCAATATGACAAGGTGACGCCCTGTGCGCTGGGTGGTTAGGGCACAATTAGGCCCCAGCTCAAACATAAGGTTTTCTTCTTCTTGGCCCGGGATGATGTACTCGTGGAAAAAACCACTGACCTGACACAGCAGCGCCAATCTTGTGGCATTCAATGTGTTTGTGACTAAGTATGGCACCTGCTGGATTATGCTCAGATCAAGGAGCTCGGAGAACTGCCTCTCCCCATTCTCCTCTGCAGATTCATTGTCGCCGTCTCTAGAGTATCCCTCTGCAATCCACCGCCTTACTAATCGCCTTCGCCGAATGAGGCGGTCTCGAGGAAAGATCGACAGGTAGAAGATACATGGCTTGATTGAATCAGTGCAAGTACGGAAATAGGAATGCATCCAACCAAATAGATCACATAGACTATCATAGTCCGGCTCAGTCTCCAGGTGGTGCATAAATCTTTGATTTAAAGAAACCACATTATCCATCCTTGTGACCGTTTGTTTGGCCAATACGGCAGCTATAGCAACTATCACTTTGGGAAGACCTCCACACTTCAAAATAAGTTCTTCTACTTGGATATATTGTAGAGCTCTTGTGTCTGTGTCTGATGATTTTTCCAGGTATACCTATATTGTTCCAACAATTTAAAATTAGCGTCAATTAGACAATTACACCATACTCAGTTTGACTTTTCAGGTGCAAAATATGTGTGTGCGCAGACTGTGTCTTCGTTTCACCCTTTTTATTATGTCTCTAGACACATTGCACTGTTTCGATAGGCAAAAACTCCAAGCAGTGCAAATATCGAAAGCAGTGTAAAACAGGAATGTTATGAAATAAGTATTGTACTACCTGGGGGTATAGACAGTAAAATATATCACGTTAAGGCAGAACATAGTGTAAATCAAAGGCAATGCAAAATAGTGGCAGAACAACTATCTGTAATGGTAATTGTAATAATCAATTGTAAAATTCGACAGTAAATAGAGGAGAAGAATAATCACAGCAATTTAAGCTTCAAAAATTTATATAACTTAATGACAGATTCACAATACACCAATACTTCTTTTCAACTATCACCTTGGCCCTTGCTAAACCTGACCATTCGACGGACCGGGTTGGGTTCGGCCCAGACTTGGCAAAACCCGAAGAAAAAATCCCAAGCCCGTGCACAGCCCGGCCCGAAGCACATGAACAGTGGCATTTTTTAATTAAATTAATCATATTCAGGATATTATATTAATTTATTATACCTATATTTTGAATAAAAATATATATGGCTATTTCAGGCTTTCAGGCCGGGCTTCGGGCGAGAAAGTGAAGCCCAAGCCCGGCCCAAATGTCAGCCTTCAGGCTCAGGCCTTCGGGCCGGGTTATCCATGAACAGGTTTAGCCCTTGCAAATGAGTGGGCATCATCTTTAGTATGTCAAAGATGTTTAGTGTTTATGTGTATCTTATGCAGTCATTTCCCCCCTCCCATTTACCCCGTTCGTTGCAAATTACACGATGTTTTAGATATGGAAACGTTCCTGGATGTGTCTTCGACCTTTATTTTTACATGCTTATATGATTATGTTGCTAAGAAATAACAAAAAATTATGAAACATTTTTTTATGAAAAAACCAATGACAATGCTTCAAAATTTTCTGAGTTGCAAAGACACCAACAGAAATAACCCACAATCTGCACGCCCACAAGATATATTGTTATATGCTCATTAGCATGGATTTGCAGCTCTATGCCAATGTGTCATTTTGTACATTGCTATATGGACATACAGACTAATGCAAATTTATTCCTTGCACAAGCATACCTTGCCCATATGTCATTTTGTACATCACTAGTGTGGGTCTGTAAATGTTGACAAATTCTTCTCTAAACTTGATCAAAGATAGAAATTTTTTAGTTTTGAAAAAACAAATACACCTTTTAATACGGAACGGATGGAGTATTATGTACTCCCTCCATTCCTAAATATAAGTCTTTTTAGAGATTCCAATAAAAGACTACATACGGAACAAAATGAATGAATCTACATTCTAAAATATGTCTATATACATCCATATGTAGTCTGTAGTGGAATCTCTAAAAAGACTTACATTTCGGAATGGAGGAGTATCAATCATGTCATGCGTTTTTACAATTCATTAGCAAAGGGACGCTTGTCTATCTCTGAATAGGGAGTATGCGTCTGTGAGAGCCAAAAATCCATTCGACATGCATATTTCCACAAACTACAAATGGTTAGAGATATGCATGTCAAAATCTAACATTTGTAGTTTGTGGATTGGAGTATGATGTTCGGCCCTCTCCCATAGTTCGGACTTTTGGAGCAACTGACTGGTGCATGAATTCAATAGTGGAAATATGCATGTCGATAATATATGAAGTTTCTTGATCGTAAATATGCAAATACCAAATATAGGTTGAGATTTAAGACCATATTTGAAGTTCCTTGATCATCCTCAGTGAAGGATGACGAATATGATAACCATCACATAAAGTATTAAGTTTCTGAAAACATGTAGGCACAAAATAAGAGAGTCGTGAGAAAAACAAACCTTTTCAAAGAGAGTTGAGGCTGCAGCAGCTTCCAGACCTTTGACATTAAACACAAGCTCTTCGCGATTCGCGCAATATGCGGCAATGCTTGCTTCGGTTGTGATGACAATGACAACGCTCTTAGAAGATCTAGGTATTACCAAGGAAGTTTGTATCAAGTCCCATTCCTTCTTGGACTGGACATTATCAATAACAATGAGCCAACCTAATTCCGCAAAACGAAAATTCGGAGGTAAGCTCCTTTGGAAGTCCCTTAAATTGAATGGATGAGATATATTCACCCAATGGTACTCTGTGAATAGGTTTGTGTCGCGCATTGTGTCATCATACAACTTTCTCACGAGAGTCGACTTCCCAACACCGGCTATTCCCCACACAGACATCACCTGCCAAGAATTTATACGTGCTTTTGCTGGATATTGACGAAGTTGATTCATTAGCGACTCACGTCCAATGAGGGGAGAATCTTCCACCATTGTTTTCTTGCCTTTATCTCCATCGCCATCAGAACCCTGTATATGTGTTGGGAAAGGTTTTAACACAAAGGTATTGCTAGAGATAGGCAAAATACATGAACAAAGTGTGATCTCTCAAGTTGCTTACAAAGACAATGATATTTTATTAGACCATTTACACGTCGGACTAAAAGGTAGGTAACAAGACACATGTGCCATAATTCATATTTATTTACGTACTAGTCATGAACCCGTGCACTAGACGAGCTATTTGGTCGCATAATAGCTAGATAGAGCAATGGTCATTAGATTTTACTAGAGTGAATACTTGTGTTATTCCTTATACGCCGGGTAAGGAAAAAAACGATAAGTTAGAGAACTAATAGATTTTCAGGCTTCATGTATGTATGTTTCTGAAAGTCATGAAATTATTCCCACTTTTATGTATAGATGTGCTCGACATATCTATAAACTTTTATTGGCAAATACTTTAAATCGACAAAAGTAACAAGTGATTTTAGATTAAGAAACGAAATGAATTTGCGATTTCCGTGTTTGGAGCACCTACCTTCTTGAAGAGGGCACAAACAGAGTGCTCGGGCGAGAACTGCTTGAGCTCCAGTATCTGGTATGGGTGCCCGATGCACGAGCTTGCTACTTCAGGTTGCTGCGTGGACACGATGATCCAGCTGCCTTTCCTCCTGTCTGGAAGGAACTTCCTCAAAGCATGCCAGTCAGCCATGTTTGAGAGGTCTTCCAAGACAACGAGGTAACTCTTCTCCGTGAGCATCTTCTTGAATTCCTTAAAGAGGACCTCCTGGGTGGCCTGCATCATCGTTAGGACATCCATACATGTGTCCGGTCCTTCATGTTCTTCTTCTTCTGCGCAGAACTGAAGCATCAAGCTCCGGACGAAGTCGTGCGGAATGAAGGGATGCATGAGCTTCACCCAGGCGCGGTAGGTGAAGTTTCTGCAGATCTCTGGGTCAATGTAGGCCTTGGTGATGATGGATGTGGCACCGTGGAAGCCGGCTGACCCCCACACCGAGACCACATGAAGCTGAAGGTCGTGGCCGTCACCGCCTTCTTTGGTGACTAGCTGGGTGAGATCGCTGCCGAGGACCTGCTCTCTCATGGCGGCATACCTTGCCTCAGCGAGCATGTTGGACGCGGCCACCGTGTCGCCGGCGGCAGCGGCCGCCGTCAGCTGCTGCTGCGCCACGGGCTTGGATCCAGTGTCGCTGATGAGGCTGTAGCGCGCGTTCCTGGTGCTGACGTCGGCGACCCTGGCCTTGAGCTGCTCGATCTCATCGACCGCCTGATCCAGCGCCGGCGGCCGCGGCGGGCGCGTCCAGGGGACGCAGAGCCGGCGGAGGCGGAACCAGAAGCTGGTCCTCCCTTTGTCGAGGTGGACGACGAGCTCGATGCAGTCCTCAACGTCGTAGGCGAGCTCGCGGATCTGGCGCACCCAGGTGCGCACCACGGCGTTCTCGACGCGCTCCGCGTTGGCGACGTTGAGAAACGACCGCATCATCTCGAGCTCGCCGGTGATGAAGACGAGGTCGCGGCGCGCGCTGAGGCGCAGCTTGGCCTCCTCCTGCACCGCCGCGTGCGCCTTGCTCAGCGTCCCCTCCACCACCGACTTGGCTAGCCCCACCGCCAGGTTCGCCATGGCTGGCCCCTCCTTGCTTGCTCGCGCG